CGGATTAAGACTGGACGCTAGACACTGGACAGCCCTACTCCGTCTATTTTATTCACGCAGTTGTTAGCCTTGGTTATTTCTATAGCTTCAGCAATCAGCTTTTGTTTGGCTGATCGTAATCCCTTTCTGATAACCGCGACATTTTCGAAGTCGGTTTCATGCCCCATGTCTAGCGCACGCTTTGTTATTGTCGAATCTCTGAGTAGAGCTCCCTACTCTAGCTCATTTCGCGGAGGTCGTGATATGTGTCGCCTATGTTCTGGAATCCTTGTACGTAATTCCATCGCTGTTTGGCCTATATACACTTGCGTACAATACACGGAACTTTATAAATGCAGTTAGTTGTTCTATCTAAACGGAGTGTATCCTTCAGATGCACAAACGTGGACCGTAGCGTTTGACTCTTCCGGAAAACTACCCTTTTCTTCTTCTTATTCAGTATTCTCCGAATCGCTTCCGAAGTTCCTTCTTTATACGGAATACCCACTATCGCTATCCACTCTGTTGTTGCTGTTACACGTGGGTTGAGATATCTCTGTAGCTGTCGTTTCACCAATCGTTTCGGATATCCGCTATTAAGTTGTTCATCGCCTTTCACTGCGCTGCTTTCTTATCTTCTTCCTACGTGCAGAGAACACTTGCACTGTGAAACAGTGGTGAGGCGATTCCTGCGTACGCGTGCTTCGGGTTGCTTGAACTATAGCTAAGTACCCCATATGTGTCCATTGGTTTGTGATACATTGTCGTTTTTAACGTTCCTTTGTTCCTCTAAACTAGACAATAAAGGAAGGGAAGTGTACCGCTCTGCGACTCAAGTTCCATGGTGAACTTTATCGTATTACGCGTTTTTGCATGAGATCGGGATTGAAGGGGGAACCCAAAGGGAGCGGGGTGGACAAAGATCTCACGACACAAACGCCATTGGGGCCGGCTCCTAGCCATACTAGCACGTGTGTCTAAACAGACGTGTTCATCGTCCTTAGGACCCCAGCCAGGCAGTCGGGATGCACCAACCGACGCCACCTTCAAGGTGAGGGTTTTCATTTCTCTCCACTAAGTCATCGCTCGGCAACCCTTGTTCTTCTTCCATCCGCACCCCCGGCGTTTGTATACAACCGGTTGGTACTGCTTGTGGATAACGTTTCGCTTCTGCCCACGTAATACAATGAACCCTTCTTCTAAGATTTTCTTTATGCTCTATCCGTCGCAGACGATAATCAACGACGCCCTAGCTGCTGCGTCGACCAAGGTAGACAGGGGTTTGGATGCTACTGCTCAGGCTTTCCCGTCTTCTTATCCCATTTTGCGCTTTTTCATCCTTATCGTCCCGCTCCAACCTAATTTTATCCCCCCATTTTCTATTCCCTAATGCTTGGCCCTCCCCCACCTTGCTTCAATAGTCGCTTGTCTTCTAGTTTCAAATCACACAATCGAAGAGCGTCGTTCCAGTTCAATCGGCAAGTCCATGTTCAACCAAGCGGACAACGGCAATTCATCCGTTTCCCTTTGGATTCCTCGAGTCTCGCTAAGACTGGCATGTCTAAACGTGCGCACTTTGCTACAGATAGGGTAACAGGCAGTACTTGCCCGAAAAGTCGACACCCTATCGATCGATATTTTCTGTTTATCAGAAACCCGCCTACAAGATTCGGGCTCCGTGCTTACCTTGCGATCCCTCACTGGCGGTACATACTCATTGTGTCTGTCTGGCGATGACCAAGGTCTAAATGCCGGTCAAGCTGGCGTCGGCATGGTTTTGAGTCCCCCGGTTGAAGCTGCCCTGATCGATTGGATCCCAGTCAACAGAAGGACGTCCGCCTTTAGATTAGGTGGCTCGATCCATGCTACAAAGTCGCATGGGAACAAACAGTGCATGTTTGTCATTGCGGCCAACAAACTGTAGCACTGATTCGGTGAAAGATGATTTCTATCAGCAACTTCACGATCTCTTTCGTTACAGAAGAAGCACGGATCCTGTGGTGTTGGCTGGCGATCTAAACGCCCAAGTCGGAAAATTGTCCTCTGATGAGCTTCATCTGGGTGGCCACATGATGTAGGCTCCCGTAATGATGACGGTGAGCCATTGCTACAGCAGTGTGAAGATGCTCGTCTCTTTCTCGCGAGCACAAACTTTCGACACAGCATCCACAGAAGCGTGACTTGGCGCCCACCAGCATCGCACCAGCCATGGACGCAAATCGATCAAATCGCGATCAGTTACCGCTGGAGAGGCTGTGTCCAAAACTGTCGCTCGATTTGGAGCACGAGCGTGGACTCCGATCACGCACTTTTTTGCGCTGACCTCCGGGCGCGGTTTGGTGGACGTCCGCACCCTCGCGTTGAGCGCATTGACACCAGTCAGCTGGCGAAAACAGTTGTTTTGAATGTGTATCAAAGTGCGCTGGCATCCGGGCTGAGTAGGCGCCCACTAAACACTGTTGTAGATCACAGCTTGCATATTCGTCAAACGTTACTATCAGCAGACATGTCTTCTTGTGGCAAATCAAATTACCAACCTGCACATTCAAATGGCTATAGAATTGAAGACTGGTAGCTCAGGTTGTTCAGATGGCGGTTGAACTGTTCGCTGAGCTTGGCGATTTTGTTGCGACAAGATTGCCTATTTCCTTGTACTGTTCAACCGCCACCTGGACATTAGATCTCTACACAGCCTCTGGAACCTATCGATGCTCACCGACTTATTCCGGCTGGAAGCGAATACAATGAGACTCACAACAATCTCAGGGCAAAACTGCGTGCTAACCTGAAGAAAGACTGCGAAGCCTGGTGGTCTCTTCGCTCACATCAGAAACGGAAACATCGACTGCCGTTGGTAATCATCGCACGTTATTCCATCTGATACGGGAAGCAAGCAGCAGGAGACTTGGTGTTAGCGAGACCATACGCGACGAAAGTGGATATCTGATGTACAGTCTGTCAAGACGCTTGAAGCGTTGGACCGAACACTGCAAACCAATTTAACCAATTTGAATTGGCGCTTTCTTTTTCGGGCATTGAGCTCATTTCTCTCTAGCCGTCTCTTTGGATCTGCCCTCACGCGAAGAAATGAACATGAGATCAGACTGTTGGAATTGTCTAAGGCCGCAGATAAAGATAAAATTCCCCCAGCCCTCTCCAAATTCAGGGGACCTGCTGTTGTAGTTGATTTACATGAGTTACTAGTGAAACTTTGGAAGCAGGAAAATGTCCCGACAGAGTGGATCCGTTCCGTCATGGTCCCAATTTTCAAGGGCGGCTCCGGTTCGGAACACGGCTGTCGTAGAGGAATCAGTTTGATCTCCATCGCCTTTAAATTGCGTGCATCTGTCTTTATTCACAGAATGACTGGCACTTGTACAAGCGATATTCGTGAGGAGCAAGCCGAGTTTCATCGAGGTCGTGGCTACATCGACCACATCTTCACCTTGCGTCAGTTGTTGGGTCATCGTCACACATATTGGCGACCCACTTTTGTCGTGTTCCTCAATATCAAAGGTGCCTTCGTTTCGGTTGATCGATGTGCCCTTTGGAATTGTCTACTCAGGAAAGGTGTGCCCGAGAAATATGTAAATATTATCCGAGCATTATATGCGTGTAGCACGGGCAGAGTGAGGGCTTACGGCAAGCTGTCGTCGCCCTTATATATCTCCAGCGGTGTGAGACAAGGATGCACGCTGTCAGCTTTCCTCTTCAACTTCGCTATTGACGAAGCCATGGAGATTGCATTCAGAGGACATGACTTGGAAGGTGTGGAGCTACTCCCAGGAGAACGACTTCTTGACTTTGAGTATGGAGGCGATGTTGCCCTCATCTGTGACAGCTCCCAAACGTGCCAAGCTGCACTGGACAGATAAGCACTGGCTGTCAGCCACTTCAGGCTTTGTTTTGCACCATCGAATTGCAAAGCGTTCCTCCAAGATTGGCCTGGGTCGCCACCTGCGCTGACTCTTTTTGGGGATCAGCTAGTCCGTCAAAGATTCAAACACCTCGGTAGTTGTTTTAGCGCCCGTGGGATTGAAGATGATATCACGAACCGTATAGCGAAAGTTCGAGGCGCTTGTGCTAACCTTCGCCACTTATGGCGCCGGCGCGACATCACACTCTTCTTGAAGGGCAAAGTGTACAATGCAGCGGTACGTTTGACCCTACTGTACGGTTGTGAAACCTGATCCCTTAGATCAGCTGGCATAAAATAATAACGTCCGACCACTGGTGCCTTCGCTGTTTGGCTCACATCTGGTGAGCAACGAGCGTGTTCGACGACTTATTTACGGCGCAGCAAAAGGAAATGAGCCTCTCAGCACCGTTATTTCACGCACCAGATTCCGATGGCTTGGCCACATGTTACACATGCCAGCTCCGACTCCCGCGACGCGAGTTGTTTACACGCCTGGGGTGGGTGAATGGAAGAAGAGGAGGGGTGGCCAAGCGATGACTTCGTCGAGAGGAATGAAGGCCGTCACTTCGAAGTTGGCTTTGGTTAGAGCGTCTCGTCTCCCTGGTTGGGGTCCGAAAGACGATGAACACGTTTGGCTAGATACACTTGCTGACATGGCTGGGATCCGACCTCATTGGCGTTCGTGCTATGAGTTTCTTTGTCCCTCCCCATCATTTTTAACCTCCCCCTCCAACCACGATCTCACAACTTATCCTTATGTCCTTTTGCATAGTAAATTTTTTACTGCATAGTATCCGAGTGTTAGAGTACCAGAACGATGCCCATCCGTTACCGGTCGCTCAGGCGCAATTTTTCTTTTTTCTTCTATGTATTGCTTCACGGTAACTGAGTTGCTTCCCAACTCTAATTAATGTGATAATGATGATGATGATGCTGACTGTAAATTAGCAGCCACTTCTTCACATTGCGATTCCTCCGTCATCTGTGTGATCCTTCCGTTTGACGATATGTGCGCTTCATTGTAACCGAGTATCCACAATTCTTCCCCTGTTTTCCCTTATTGCTTAGTCTTAATTTATCCGCTTTTCGTCTTCCAATCCAGAGGAACGTCCCCATTCTTGTGACCGTTGTGGCAAATCGTTTCCCTTAAAGTGCACTTTGCAAAGGCACATCCGTACTGTTCATTTAGGTGAGTTTGTAACTGTAGGATCCACTTGTTTATTGCCATCCTCGACGCTTTCACGTGTTTTCAACCGAATAAACATTGTGTTGTTATCACGTTGAAGCCTGATGTTTTTGTGTCCATAGTTTTTTTTCATTAGGCCGGCTAGTATGCAGTGGAGCATATGTGCTTGTTACATCGTCTGACTCCTTGTACTGCCCTGTCACCATCGTGATTGGCAGCGTTTGGATTCAGCCTGCTAATGAAAATTTTCCCACTTAGCGACAAGTTTGGATAATCGAAATTCACCCACTTGGTCAGGTCTTATCTGGTCTGATTTGCAGCCGGAATACGTCGACGAGCATCGATAAGTTCCAGAAACTGTGTAGAGATCTATTGTCCAGGTTGGTAATTTGATTTGCCACATGGAGATATGTCTGCTGATAGTAAAGTTTGACGAATATGCAAGCTGTGATCTACAACGGTGTTTAGTGGGCGCTTACTCAGCCCGGATGCCAGCGCACTTTGATATGCATTCAGTACTTATGGCTTCACTATTTGGCTTGTGTCAATGCGCTCAAAGTGACATTGCAGACGTCTGCGGAAACGCACCTGAAGATTGGGACGCACAAGAACGTGATCGGAGTCCACGCTGATGCTCCAAATTGAGCGACAGTTTTGGACACAGCATCTCCAGAGGTAACTAATCGCGATTTGATCGATTTGCGTCCATGGCTGGTCCAAGGCTGTTGCTGTGTCGAAGTTTGTACTCGCGAGAAAGAGACGAGCATCTTCACACTGCTGTAGCAATTGCTCACGGTTATCATTACGGGAACCTACACCATGTTGGCCACCCAGATGAAGCTCATCAGAGGACAATTTTCCGACTTGGGCGTTTAGACCTCCAACCAACAGCACAGGATCCAAGCTTCTTCTGTAACAAAGGTGATCACGAATTCGCTGATAGAAATCATCTTTCACCGAATCAGTGCTACAGTTTGTTGGCCGCAATGACAAACATGCACTGTTTGTTCCCATGCGACTTTGTAGCATGGATCGAGCCACCTAATCTAAAGGCGGACGTCCTTCTGTTGACTGGGATCCAATCGATCAGGGCAGCTTCAACCGGGGGACTCAAAACCATGCCGACGCCAGCTTGACCGGCATTTAGAGCTTGGTCATCGCCAGACAGGCACACTGAGTATGTACCGCCAGTGAGGGATCGCAAGGTAAGCACGGAGCCCGAATCTTGTAGGCGGGTTTCTGATAAACAGAAAATATCGATCGGTAGGGTGTCGACTTTTCGGGCAAGTGCTGTCTGTTACCCTATCTGTAGCAAGGTGCGCACGTTTAGACATGCCAGTCTTAGCGAGACTCGAGGAATCCAAAGGGAAACGGATGAATTGCCGTTGTCCGCTTGGTTGAACATGGACTTGCCGATTGAACTGGAACGACGCTCTGCGATTGTGTGATTTGAAACTAGAAGACAAGCGACTATTGAAGCAAGGTGGGGGAGGGCCAAGCATTGGGGATTGAAAATGGGGGGGATAAAAGTACAGTTGGAGCTGGACGCTACGGATGAGAAACCGCAAGAAGGGGGATAAGTGAAGGCGGGAAGGCCTGAGCAGTAGCATCCCAACCCCTGTCTATCCTGCTCGATGTAGCAGATAGTGTGTGGTGGATAGATTATAAAGTTGCTTTCAGTCTTGTTATATTATCCTCAATGCTCAGCCTCCACTCATGCATCGTCACAAATCCCATTCTCCAACTATTATTATTTTTTTATATAGATGATTAAATGTTGTCGTAAAACCAGTACCTTGATTAGACTGGCTCCAGGGGACAGTTTTGTCGTTTCTGGAGAAGGTGGTGAGCACGGTTTTCGTGGCGATGATAGGCTTATGGGCAGTGTGTGTAGCGGACTCTGACCCGGCAACCGCCTTCTATACTTTGGTATTATGCTTGCAAATGTATTCATAAATGTTGCCGCTGTACACGTATCAGTGTGCGTCATCTCCGTTGAAGAGACGTGGCTCCCTTCCACTTACCTTCCTGTCTTGTTCCTTCGGGCTTACACCGAATGGAGCTGTGGGTGCGGCGCAAGCTACTCAGGGTAGCTCTGTGGGCGCAGACATCCTGTGACTGTCGTATGAGGGTCGCAGTGGCAGACAAATCCGGAACTGTATGCCACCATCCACTGATAAAACACTTGGTATTTTGTGTTTTATCTTGTTTTTGTCTTTTGTTTCCTACATACTCATTGCTCGTTCGAGCGGCCTCGGTGACTTTCCTGCATCGAGCACTTATGCTTGAATTGGGCTTGTGCATTTTTCTCATTTCCACTATGTGATTTACAACTCGCACTCTCTGTATAATGGTGTCTCCTTTTTCATACTTCTCATGAGTCACGAGTGCTGTCTCATTGAACTGTCAACAGTTCCGTGCAGTTTGTAGTCTTGTGGACCAGAGCACCATATGATGCATCAGAACAACCGTTTACCTTTTCGCAATTCCTCTTGCTTAATTGTGTGATTTCAATACCAAGGGATGCAGTTTGTGGTTTGCAATCGATTTGTGAACACTCCGCGTCTCTCTTTGCCTTCTCCTTACTCCTGTTCTTGTTGCTAACTTTACTGTATTTGCTACCATAGGTGAGCAACCCCACAAATGCGATCATTGCGGTAGATGCTTCCCTCAAGACGACGTTTTGAAAGAACACATTGACGCAGTGCATTTGAGTGAGTATTCGTTTCTTGTGTTCCTTATTTTAGAACACTACAAATGTGCTTACATTGCTTCTGATATATATATATATATATATATATATATATATATATATATATATATACATAGCGAGTTGACGGCATCCAGTTCTGGACCATGGAGCCAACAGATGGACCATGAACGGCTTAATTTAATCAGCCTGGCTGAGGCACTCGCGATGATGTGTTACAGCTCAATGCGCTCGACCTCTGTCGGTTATCCACCATCGGCACCTCTTGATTCCTCAACTAACGTTCATTTCCCGCGTGTAGTAGTGCTTTCTCATGCACCTGGGCAACCGCTCTCCTTGTATCGTCGCCATCGGCGTCAGTCGACTGCCATCGCTTCCTGGCGCCTAAATTCAACATTTGTTCGTGATAAACTTCCCTTGATCATGTCCTGGTAACGCAACTTCGCTCTTCCCACATGCTGCTTCCTCGCACGCATTTGGACCTAAGGCAGCTGTTTCCGTATCCGCGTCGAATACATTTGGTGAACATGCCCCACTCATCTCAGGTCCCTCAGCAGGACTGCATACATGCTACTTCATCGGAACCCCTCCGTGTCTGCAACTCGTCACCCCAGCCGATGCGCAGTATATGACTCAAGCATTTCTGGTTTAGGCGCTCCAGATAGCGGCTATCATTCTGGTACATCGCCCAGGTTTCGCTGTTTATAGTATAACGGACAGCACCACTGACTTGTATACTATCAGCTTCGTATCAATATTGACCTAATGGTTTTCCACACACATATTTCCAACTTGCCAAATACGGCAGCCGTCTTCTATAGGAGCACGCGTAGTTCGCCGGTCATGTGCAGGTCGGTAGACAGTATGCTCCCAAGATAATACAACCTCTATATGCTTTCCAAAACTGCAGCATCAATTTATCTTTTAGTATGTCGAAAGGATTCCGTTAGGGAAGAAGGCTGAAAAAGAACATGGACGACATTTTCGTTGTCTGTGACTCTTCCACCGATTATCTAACCCTATTAGATCAGTTTAACAGGGTACATCCATCATTAAAATTCACCATTGAAGTTGAGCAAGGTGGCTGCTTGGCGTTCCTAGACGTTCTATTGCATCGGCCTGAAAACGAGACGATCAAAATGAGTGCTTTTCGCAAAGCGACGTGAGTAGGTCAGTACACCCACTTTCTTAACTTTGTACCACTGAGGTACAAGAGGAATTTAGTTCGTTGCTTATATCGCGCCAGAGCAATCAGCAGCCGAAAGACACTGGAAAACGAAACCACCCTCATCTTTAACATACTGCAAGAAAATGGGTATCCAGTGCTTTTTATCAAAATTCACTCCAAACAGCCTGATGCTGGTAAGTGTGTCGCTACAGTGCCCAAAAGGGATGTATTTCTAACAATTCCCTTTAAAGATGACGTTGTGTTCGAACTGTTGGATAGAAAAGTTCCGACGACAGTGGCCACGACATTTCCAGCCGTCAATCTGAAACTACTTGCCGAAACAAGACCATTGATACTTCAGCACTTAGAGCATAAGCTCCCGGTTCGGTCCGAATCGTTTGTCTTATGCTACTTCACCTGCCTCTTGGACATATGACCAGGTGTTGGTCCAAAAGAATCGCTGAATATCGTCCAGCGTCACTATGAAAAGGTTAACATAAAACAGCAGATAATGGTAGAGTTCAAACTTCAAGGTCATTGGAAAACAGATCAGAAGTGATCGATGGACTATCGCCGGCGTGGCCCTCAACGAGTCGTTGTGATAGAGGGCCAGGGCAAACACAGAATCTGAACGAATCGTTTTTGAGCACATAAGTCTGGGTTCTGGTGGCGGATAGCAATTGCCTCAGCTGCTGCTAGTAAGCGACATTTTACCACACGTGAAAGACGTCCAGGTACACGGTAAATGGGTTGGAAAGATTGGCGGGTGTCGATTTGGTGATTAGAATCAACCAAGTGTGCCAACACGGCGCTCATCACAGTTTTTCTCGAACCATTGCGTAGGTTAGCTGGACAATGCTCGCGTATTCTCTCAGACAGCCTCCTTATAGTTCTTCCGATGTATCTTGCTCGACATGAACATGAGAAGGAATATACACAATAAGAAGTACATGACCAAGGAAGTCTGTCTTTGAGTTGGGGTCTCACGATTGGTGTTGGAGTAAAACTTAGCCGCAAGCTCGCTGCGTAGTACGTATGGCTCATAGCTTCGGATAATCTTGCTGTTGCCTGCGCTATACCGTCCCCCTTGAATGGCAACGACAAATAAACCGGTTTCTTTTCTACCGAAGCTGGTTTAGCTCTCGTTTCTCTGCATTCCATATATTTCCAGGTACAGCCTACGAGACACATTCAGTTTCTTAGACTCCATAAGACAGCTCCAGCTAACCGGAAGAAAGATGTTTTCATTGGATGTGGTGTCGCTTTTCACCAATATTCCGTTAGAAGAGACAATAGACCATATATGTGACACCGTTCGAGACCATCAACTGGGTATCGGGCTTTCAAGTGATCGATTGAAGCAGCTACTCCTGCTGTGTACTAGTAACATACAATTTCAGTTTAACGGGGCCATATACAGACAAAAAGATGGAGTAGCAATGGGCTCACCGCTTGGACCACTACTGGCTGATGTGTTCATGAGCAAATTAGAGAATACTTATCTGAGCGGAGTCATTACTAGCCTACCATACTACGGACGATATGTGGATGATATATTTTGCGTGACAGACAGACATTGTTGCCCAGAGGCAATTTTATCCTATTTTAACTCAGCGCACCCAAATGCCAAGTTCACACGAGAAACTGAAAGCAATGACATGATGTCCTTCCTAGACGTTCATCTTAGTAGGAGACCAGATGGATCAGTCCAACGGAGGGTACATAGAAAAGCAACGTGGTACGGACAATATGTACATTTTGCCAGTTTTGTCCCAATAAATCAGAAATGCAATTTGATTAGATGTCTAACCGAAAGGGCCAGAAGGATTTGTAGTGAGGACACACTTGCGGACGAGCTCAGTTTCTTAAGTGGCGTCCTCGAGAGAAACGGCTATCCAGAAAGCTTTGTTCTGAAATATATGGGGACGGTATAGCGCAGGCAACAGCGAGAAGATTATCCGACGCTATGAGCCATACGTACTACGCAGCGAGCTTGCGGCTAAGTTTTACTTCAACACCAATCGTGAGACCCCAACTCAAAGACAGACTTTCTTGGTCATGTACTTCTTATTGTGTATATTCCTTCTCATGTTCATGTCGAGCAAGATACATCGGAAGAACTATAAGGAGGCTGTCTGAGAGAATACGCGAGCATTGTCCAGCTAACCTACGCAATGGTTCGAGAAAAACTGTGATGAGCGCCGTGTTGGCACACTTGGTTGATTCTAATCACCAAATCGACACCCGCCAATCTTTCCAACCCATTTACCGTGTACCTGGACGTCTTTCACGTGTGGTAAAATGTCGCTTACTAGCAGCAGCTGAGGCAATTGCTATCCGCCACCAGAACCCAGACTTATGTGCTCAAAAACGATTCGTTCAGATTCTGTGTTTGCCCTGGCCCTCTATCACAACGACTCGTTGAGGGCCACGCCGGCGATAGTCCATCGATCACTTCTGATCTGTTTTCCAATGACCTTGAAGTTTGAACTCTACTATGAAAAGGTACCGTAAAATCCGTCAACAGTTCTGTTTTACAACATTTGCTTGACACTAGACATCAAGTCCAGATGAAATCCAGATAAACTCGTTTATACTATCGCTAAACGCTACTCAAAAACAGCTTAAGAAACATCTGCTAACCATTTCTGGAGCCATTGCAATCTAGGTTCTAAAACCAGAGCTGTGCAAACAACGCACATTGCTACAGGCTCTGAAGCTACCTTGGCCTTGAACTTGACATCTGACCTGCCTTGGTCACCTGCTTCCTAATGCGACAGTCTGATTGATCAAACCATTGATTTACTTTTCATACTGTCTGGTTAATGAGTTGGGTGTTTTCTGTACAAGCCTTTAGGAGCTTTGTTCCCTCCGGTATTTTGATTCATAATTGTATACGTTCGATTAGAAGTGCCGAAAAGAATATTTTTCACGCATTTGCTTACTTCTGACTCAACTGGGGATGATTTCTGAACTGAAAAAGAACAGGCTTGCTTGTCTTAAATGGTTATCGTGAACTTGGTCGCTGTGGAAGCCAAAGCACTAGTCATGTGCTGCAACTCATCCGCGCTGTTTGCAGACAACGCGCAGTCGTTTATAAACTGCAACATGCAAGTGATTGTCTCACACTTCATTGTTCACGCATCGAAACATCGGATGTTCAGCAGCCTACCATAAATACGGTGCTCTACATGGACACCGTAATCACAAGCAGTCTCAAGAGCACATGACAACGTTGCATGTAGGTAAATATTAGACAGGGCAGGGGCGAAGACACAGCCGTGCTTCACACCAGAGACAACATCAATGGCCTCCGATGTTTATCCACCCAGCTACACTTTCGCCCGCGTACGACTGTGCAGCCATTCAATTAAACTTACAAACTTGATTGGACAACCAAATTCACCCAACACCAGCCACAGTTCCCCGCGATTCACGCTATCAAACGCCTTGGTGTAGTCGACAAACAACGAGTACAGTGGCTGGTGTCACGCTCTGCATTCTTCTGCAGGAGCCGCAAACATCATATTGATGGTGCTGCGGCCCCAACGGATTCTGCATTGCTCTTCCTCCACGCTCGATTCAACGATCTGACCGACTAGGCGATTGAGCCGGATTCGTGCGGTCACCATCCCTGCACAACTCAACAACTTGATACTATGCTAATTCGTGCAGCATTGCTTGCTTCTTTTGCCCTTGTAAACTGGCAGCACAAAGGCATCCTTCAAGTCAACCGGCAATTCCTCTTCTATCCACATGCGTTACATCAAGTAGTGCTATTCCGGTCCACCGTGCTTCAACACTTCGGACGGGATCCCGTCGACGCTTGCGTATTTGTCATTTCACAACTAACCATGTGTTCTCGGCGGCTCACCCAGTGCCGGCAAGACACTTCTTGATCTCTTGTTGTTGCAGTTCGTGCAGCATAGTCCAGTCGATCTCTGAACAGTTGTTCGAGACAATCAAAGTTTTTTCACCAGATCTGTATTATATGTGCTGTCTGTGTACGGGCATCACGCAGCGTCCTCAGCGTCTTCATCATGAGTCTATACACCACCTTGGAGTCAAAAAATTCCTTCTGTTGGTGGCGCTAGGTGCAGTATTCCATGGGCTCGCCTCCAATATATATATATATACATATATATATATATATATTCATTATGTTAAGAAATCTAGTACATCACTACCTACATAAGCCATAATTTCTTGGATCAGAATTCTTACTTGTGTACGAAGAACATAAGCTTGCGAGTTTAAGCTTGTCTATAGAATGGGACAACCCTCGCAAAATCCTTAACGTACGCCTCACTAGAAGTGGTTGTGTGGCAACGAAGCGTCCATACTGCGTACCCTTCTTATTGCTGATGCTCTTCGTTTTAGGTACCTCTGGAGTCTCGCTCAATTAATGCTATCGCTTTTACTTATTGTTGGTATGATCATGGTCACTGAAGCACTTTTGATTGCAATCCATTTTGAACCACCACATCTGTCCTCGTATTTTTTCTAGGCTTATCACCTTTGTAAATATAACTGTATTTATTGTCACAGGAGAGCGACCCCACAGATGCGACCATTGTAGTAGTTGCTTCCTTCAGAAGGCCGCTCTGAAAAAGCACATTGACACAGTGCATTCGAGTGAGTACTTGCTTTTAGTCTTCATTGTTTTAAAGTATTCCGAAAGTGCTACATTGCCTCTGCTAGGTATCATCAATCTACTGCCGTGTTGGCGCTCTATCTTACATGCTACTAATCGTTGGATGTGCTGTTTGTGGTTATGATTGCGCCTATTTTAGTTTGCCTGCTCCTTTTCGTTTGTTACTTCAGCAAGCCCAACTACACATGAACTAAAACAATGCACGGAGCTCTAATGTCCCGTCTTGCTTGGTGATGAATCGTTTGCGACCAGATTGCCAAGTTTGGCGAGCACATGTTCGCATGATCACTCAATCTGGGCTCCCGTTTTTCGAGTACTTTCGACCTTCTGCCGTGTTCGGTCTTTAATATCCTGTGCATCTTTCATGGTTGGCATCACGAAGCGCGTATCTCATAGGAGTTGCGAGCACATTCCGCCGTGTTTTTACTAACGCGAGATGTGATTTTCTATCAGATCTGTTATGTTGCACCTCCTAAAATAGAGCCATATAACTTCCTAGAATAGTGGTTCTTAACCTGGTGGTAATAACCCCCAAGGGGGTATGATGGAATTGTCTGTCGCCAAACAAAGTTGGTTACAAAATCATATGTATCAACACATGTACCTAACTACTTAATCACTTGATCGGCCCACAATGTATAGGAAAAGATAACACAACAATGATGAAAGCATAGGTTGGTTAAAGAAGAAGTGTAGAACAGTAGTTTCACAATAGGTTCGCCATCGCTCACGGTTTCTTGATGTGCCCCACGTGTTTTCCAGCCGTGTGTACTTGTGCTCATTGCGCCCCCAATCACGGAATCGGGAGCGCCTTACCGCGGCCGCATGTAAGCTCAGCGCCTTCATACTTCTGTCCCAAGTTATTCGCTTACCACTTTGTCCTCACTTCCAACCGACATTTTGGCGCACAAAGAGTGCACGGTGAAACAAACGCTTGGTAGGCTCGCGAAGCAACTACCCAAATCACCAAAGCCTGTGCAGTGGAATTATGCTGCACATTGTCCGGCAGTCTGTCTGATCTGAAAATCCTTCGGCGAACATCCTCATTACTTATGTGATGTTGCCACCGCACGCCAGCAATGCTCCGGAGGCAGCGATGATCAAAGACAGACAGCCTCTGAACGTCTTTTGCACGAACAGGCCAAGTCTCACAACCGTAGAGCAAGAGCGCTCTCACCGTGGGATTGTAGGCTCGGCCCTTCAAGGAGTGACTCAAGTCGCATCGATGCCAGAGATGGCGGAGATTAACAAACACAACCCAGGCTTTTGCGTCTCACAAATAGACCTCATCCGTTAAACTGCTATTGCTGATGCAGATTCCGAAGTAAACGAACTTGTCTATTACTTCCAGAGAGTGATCTGTAAGCGTGGGAGCAGCTCCTAGCGGGTCCTGTACAAATACCTTACAGTTCGAGGGGAGGCAGAGACCGCCAATCAACACGGGACATTTTTGGTGGCTTGTGAGAAACCGTAGATTACGGCGATGTCGTCTGCTTATTTCGAATCCCGGAGTCGGTCCTCCGGAAGTAGCTCAACGCCTCTGGGTCAATAGTTCACCAGTGCGCTCTCCGCGGTGTCATATATAGCGAAATTGAACAGGAAGGGTGATCCTGGGCAGTTCGGTCTCATGCCACTTATGATACTAAAGGTGGTGTATGTTCGCCGTACACCAGCAGTCGTCCCGATGTTCGAGAGCACTTGGATTGAAGAATGTCGACGTATTTCTCAGCCACTCTCTTTCTCAATAAAATGCTCCAGAGAACAGCTCGGTCAACCGAGTCAAACGCAGCTCGTATGTCTAACAAGACAACAGTCAATCGGCCGAACGTTTGATTACTCTGGAATATTTGGTGGAGAATAAAATGTGTGGTCGATGCAACTCCGGTCAAAACGGAACCCATCTTGCTGTTCGGTTATATTCTTTTCGTGTACCTGTCAGTGTCTCCTTTAAAGCCGGATGGCGTGCACTGTAGATGCAAGACAGATAAGACTAACCCCTCTATGGTTAGCACATTCTGACCGGGCACCATTTTTGAACACGGGTACGATATCAGCTATACCCCAATCAAAGGGGTGATCCAAACCTTTTGGAGGGGAGAACTTAACTCCCGAACAAGTGATGGATCTACATCTTTGGAAGGGCCGGAGAGAGTTCATCTGCTCCAAGAGCTCTGCATCGCTTTAGGTGGCGAAGCTCATGAGCAGCCTCAGCTGATGTTGAAGCGTTTATACACCAGGGAGTACTCTGGATTCCCGAATGGGAACACATCGGTGCTACTGGCCAGTCAAACTGCTGCTCAAAATGCTCGGTCCAACGCTCAAGTCGGCCTTGTTGGCTCTCCATTGTTTTCCCATAAAACTTCGCTTACATTTGGCCTTCTGCTGCCAGTGGATCGGATCAGATGGAAAAGCTTCCGGAAATTCCCCAACCTGGCCGCCTGCAATATTTCAATGCCCCGTTGTGTCCACCAGGCCTCACGATCCTCCCGGAGGAGCTGTTTGAGTACAGCGTTAATGATCCTACGTAGTGAATGATACTCAACGCTAGCTAGAATTGCCCGACGAGCTTCGGGAAGTTGGAGTGGTTCGTGCACAGATCCAGTGATTGACAGGACTACTGATGAATCTACAGTTCAGGGTTGAAGATTTATACTTGGTGCTGCAAATGTGTGCTCAGTGCGTTTCAACGTCACATCATGAGGCGCTTTTCAGATTTGAAGCCAATGCATTTTGAAGCGCTCTCGGAGCACTTAGGACAGAAAGCTTATCCGCGTCAATCCGTTTCCGGCGAGGTCGTTTGGAGCCACGAAGGCGTAAAGCGGCCTTGGCACACACGAGCGCATGATCCGAAGTGAGGTAAGTACTCCAATTTGATTTGCAGTCCTGTATGCAACCCCACCAACGATAACTAATTGTGGTGTGGTCAATTTGCGTCTATAATTAGCCAGGAGACTGAGGCCTCTAGGTCGCGCGTTGGCGCTACCTTCACCGAAATCAATACTCGACAGGAATAGCCCGTGATCGGCGCAGCTATAGTAGGCGATCACTTTTGTCTTTTCTGCTAGTGCCATGAGCATGTTGACCACCGAGTTCACGCTCCTCAACCCCAAGTCTCCCGACCTGCTCGTTTAAGTCCCATGCAAGCACCGCGATGTTTGTACGGCGCTTTTCTCGGAGGCCGGACAGTTGACAGTAGAACTCGTCTTTAACTGACTCCGGGCTGCAGTCTGTGGGAGCGTACGCTGCTACAACGGACAAGCAATTTCTGCTTGTCCCGCTGCTGGAAAGTAGCACTGGGGTTTCAAGTCGGATCGCGCGGAGTCGGCTGTTGACAGGGATCCAATCTACTAACGCAATCTCGGCACGTGTGTTCAGCGCAATTCCCACACCGGCAAGACCAGCGGCTTTGGCGGTTGCATCTCCAAATAAGCGCAAAATAAAAAGCCAGCGGAACTCGTAGACCGTGAGACCAGCCGTATTGTCGTGCTAGCGTCCTATGATTGCGCAAAGACTGTTGTGATCCGATCTGCATCGTCGTCCCAACATTGAAGGTAGTCAGGTTGAAATGGGAACAGGGCGCTACACAAGGCGTGGCGCGCCCTTGGGCCTAAATTTTCGATCTGAATGGCGAGAACACGCCTAAGGCAGCACGGCGTTGTAGACTCGGAATCCGAGAGGAATTACCATGGCTGGGGCGGTGGAATAAAGCAACTGAGCGTCATATAGCATGTTCGGCCGCCAGCACGTCTGCAGAGGGCAGCATTTTCCAATAGCAGAGTGAGGAGAGAGAGCAGAAAGTCGTTGAAACGTTGGTCCATAAGTCCTGTGGGCAGGAAGAGGGTTGACTTGGGCGACCCCACGCTGGGCCATTGGTCTTAAAAACTTGACTCGCAGGGCAGTGGGGCGATCGACGTATCTCACATACTGTTGGGAGCCGGCTACCACGATGACGATGACACGGCTTTCGATTAAGAAAAAACTATTCAAGGCGCCCAAGAATCCCGAATGAAGCACTACGAGGGCCAGGGGAAATTCCCTGGACCTTAGATGTTACGGAAGAGCACGAAGGCCGTTGCCAGTCAGGTGGATCATACGCCTTCATAGAAGACGGTAGCCATTGAAATAGTTTATCCGCCCTCACTTCTGGTCACAGAAGTGGGTTGCCAGTGACCATATTACTGGTCACGTTGGGTTTGACGCAGCGTCTTACGAGCTCCTGTGGTATTTGCTGAGAAACCGGGTGACCGTCCCAGAACACCTTACGCTCTAGGACGCTGCCACTGATTATCCGCGCCTGCTTATTCGTCTCGCCTGCGAATAGCCAAAACTTATTCACTGTTACTTTCGTAAGGAAAGCGTTTCACGATTCGCAACCTGGGGACGCGCCCGGTGGCGTACAGCTCCGCTGAACCAACCAGTCGTTAGCTCACCTCTGGGTAGCCGTCAGTCAGGCAGTCGTTCACCGGGCCGAATAGCAGGGTTGAATGCACACTAATGTGGGAGCATAAGTCAGCCGAACCGATAAATGGGCTGGCGAATGTTATCATTCTAGAAAGGACAAAACAGGCGATTCAGAGTGGTGATGGGAAGTTTTCATCCAGGATGGACTTGGTAGGGATGATTGAAGCGAATGAGAAGCCACTGGCAGCTATGCTTGTTTGATCAGAGATAGCACACCAAAGTAAGAAAGCGAAGGAACTTGGAGCACAACTTAGCATATGCTTTGGTCAAAAGCGCACCAAATATACTGCAAATTGTTGAAACCAAGCAATATCACCCGTCTGATTAACGTATACCACCTTTTGCTTTAATTAAAAATGCCCAAAATAGGTGTTTTCTTTAATTATGACAAAAATTAATTAACAAGGTATTCATTTTCCGTCACTTAAGGTAAAAATGCAATACTTATACGTAAATAGCTTTCAAAGTAAATTTTTTGGGACAGTTGTTCATATTGAACCCGCTGTGTAGGCAACAATCT